GCTGAAAAATGTATGTGCCATGTTCATCACTTCTGGGAGTCAAAGGGTTAAGAATGACCAGTCATATGATTTTGATATTCGTGAGGAGTAGAGTTTCATTTATTCAGTTACCTTTAACACAACTGCAGCAAAGAATGTGCTTCCTTGAAGATTTTGACTAATTTCAAATGCCTTGCCAAAATCCACACCTGCCAGAATAAAAAAAAATAAAGTTAATAACAGATTGAAGTAAATTGCAACTAAATCATATGCTTAAGAATCAATATATTGTAAACATGATGAATAACTTTGAAAACTCACAGCTAAGCTGCAGGCAGAATTTGTTTAGCAACAATTTATACAGCGCTGCCCAAAAGTGTACTCAACACTTGGCAGTTAACCCCGCCTGTAACTCCCAAGATCTCATAAGTAATTCTCCTTACTGTCTGCCAAACAATTCTCCTTTTGCTAGTTTGGAGAATTTGGTATCGGATCAATTAGTTATCCCATAATTTACATTTTTCCCTATTCTCATTACTTGCCTGCATGATATTATATACAATATTAGATATAGTAAGGAGAAATTATGTCTTGGTGACTCAGGAGTTATTAACTCATCAACTGTTCCATTTTTAACCACCTCTTAACTCTTATTTAAGAAAAAATGAAAAAAGAATAAAAAAGTACCATTTTTGCTAAATTTCATAAAACCATTGTCAAGATTAATATAGCATCCAATTGTGTCCTCAATTCCAAATGGTTCCCCATAAGTGTTAAATTCCTTTCCAAATGACTTCTTCCCACTGCCTCCAAATCCATACCCCTGATTGTCAGTCCCTGGATACCAAAAAAAGAGGAAAAAAGATGAGAAGGAATTTACAACTTCAGTTCTAGAAAAGGTTGAAATACTAAGTGAGCAAGATTTTGGAAAAATGTGAGCTGTTCACTATCTACATGTGAGGTCAACTTACATTGAAGAAATCCCCAACTGTAATATTAACTAAAATAAAATAAGCACCTGATTTAAAAGTGGCGCACCCACATATTAGTTCTTAGTCCACTCATTCCAAGTGGAAGATTACTTTATAGTGTTAGTTTTTGTTGAGGAATAGAAAAAAAACAGAGAATTTGAAGTAAAACCCCAGATACAAGAACAAGGAAAAACATCAAACATCAAACATTATCCCACACTCAAGTAAAATCAAATCTGGAAATGAAAACCAGGCCTCAGAGATGGGAATCAAGTGATCATATCACTTCATAACCCTTCTACCCATTTCCATGATGATATGAAACTCCAAAATGTAGTTCATTCATTCTAACAATATCATTATAATAACTTAATAACTCGTTCAATTAACAGTCATCGTACCAAGATTTAGTGAAGCCAAGTCTGTTGCCCATCCCACTCGACAGAGTCCTTCATCTGTGACGGTTGCTTCATAATAATACATTCCTGAGAAGATAGAAAACTGCAACAGTTAATTTCATGAGATGGCAGATTTTCAGAAAATCATCCCCCAATTCAAATTAACACATTTAAAGATAAATGCCAACTATCACAAGAAAGAACTGAAAGATCACTTCTTGAAGTATCTCAAAAACCTTACATACCTGTATGTTTGCAACTTTCCTTAAATAGCTGAAAAGGGTCACTTGAAACAGGAAAAGTTTTATTTGTTTGTAACTTCCTAATTTGTTTAAACAGCTTTTATTTGAGAAAAAAATCAGCTCATCTTTATCAAATTATCAGCTTCCCTACAAACCTTTGTTCACTCCCAAAGTAGAACGGCATCCTTGCCACTTTTGATGATTGCGACTCTGACACAGATAACCTTTGGCATCAATAGCTACAAAAAATCAAACCACAGGAGTTAGGAAAAGGCCTTGAAATTGTTTAACTTTGTTTAGTATCAGGTAACCATAATGGACTTCAAAAGTTGCCATCAGATGACACTTAGTCAACCTTCCTGAACTTCAAACACAAAAAGAAATTGTTTTTCTTGCCAGTTTATACAGCCTGACAGCAGCCCTTTAAATCAAGGTTATACTTCATTTAAGTAAATTAATATTAAGTATCATTACCTCTATCTAATGACCGCTCTTTAACATTTTACAACCTAGTTTCAGAATGCATTTTCTCCATATCGTTCTTTATACATTTCCTAAGATGGTAACAATGAGAGTTTGTCTTACAATCAAGAGCTTCTTTAGCTGGTGATCATTTCCTTTATTCTTGTGACCTTGATGTGTGATTCAAGGGTAATATTGTAAGGAGAAATTAGATCCTAGTCACTCTTAGGGGTTAAAGGATTAACATTTATTTCAAAACATTAAGTAAATTAATCTTAAATGTGTTGTAAGCACTTAACCCTTTAACACCCATGAGTTTCTAAGACAAAAATTCTCTTTACCATATGAACACAATATCAAGCAGAAAAAAAGATGAGAATAAACTTTAAGAAAAACATCAATTTGGGGATTACATCAGTGGTAGATGATCCAATAAAAAATTCTCCTATCTAACATTAAAAGAACTATATGGAAGACAGCAAGGAGATCTTAGGAGTGTATGTCATTAAGCAATGTCTGAAGTCTCTATGAACTAAACATAAAAGCTTGGGATATTCCCTGGAACAAATTCATCAGGTAAAGCTTCAGATATTCCCTGGCACAAATTCATCAGGTTGATGGGTACTCACCAAAGTCCTGATCTCGATCAAATACATTCATTTTGAACTTGGTTGGCACTGTTAAAGATGGAAAAACAAATTGCTCACAAAAAAACATGTGAAGTCAGAAAATCTCAGTCAGTATGTATATACACATATTGTCAGGTCATAGCAATTATGGTAGATCATAAGATTGAAAATAGTATTTTAGCATTTTAACAATTTTGAGAATTTTGTCAATTTTAGCTTCATGTTGGTGCATTAGATCATATCCACATGTATTTGGCTCCCTGTCATCTTTTAAAGAATGATCTATTTGTTTACCCTGAGGTGAAGAATCAAGTAAATCTTCTGCTTAATTAGAAACACTAACACCAACATTTTCAACATAATTTTTAAATGTATGAAACAAATTTCATAACTGTGATTGGTTATTCCAGCGTCTCTACAAAATATACCACAAAATAACCACTGTTTGTTATTCTTAGTCTAAATAATGTTGGCTTATCCTTGTTAGATATTTGCTGAGTGTTGAGTCCATACCATCTGATGGCGCAGCAGATGTGGGTCTGGAGCTCTTCCGGCCAGTTAGTGCCTCTCTTATTGTCTCATGTACAATCTGAATTACAGGTAAAGAAAATGCCTAGAAGAAAATCAGAGGTGTATAACTTTCATGCATCCACTATTTCAAGTAATTAATTATGACATACAAAGTAGCCTTTGTCTTAACCACTGAACTGAAAAAGAAATTTGTCAGTTTAAAAATAAAAACATAAGAGAAGCTTAATATGCTTAGATGTGATCAGAATGGCTTAAATTGGAAATACCAATAAGGATCAAAAACAAAAAAATCAACTTTGAAAATCTGGCCACAATTTTTCAAGATACACAAACTGACACTGGTGAGAAATGATGACAATATTCTCACCAAACTCATTTTGTTCAAGTAAAAGAAGCTGGCTCTTAAGTATATTGTTCAGCAAGGAAATCAATAACCCTTTCAAAGCTCATTTGAAATTTTATACCAAGCATTTTCTGATGAATATCTAAAAAGCTTTATTAGAAAAAGTGAACTCATACTCCAGTTTTTCCACGTCCAGTTTCTGCTGCCTGCAAAGAAAACAAAGTGAATATGGAGGTCCACATTGAACAATACATTGAGCAATATAAATAAATAAAAACAGCAACAGCCTTTAGAGATTCAAGACCAGTTTGATATGGAGCTAATAATACTCTGCAAGAAATAGAGAAGTCTACACCCCTGGATATTAATTTTTGTCAAGTATTTTGACAGGTTGATTAAAATCAGTAAATCACACACACAAAAATCAGACAATAGAGTTAAGAGTTGTTCTTCTCACCATAAGAACATCTCCACCTCCAAGAATGAGAGGAATGGCTTCAGCCTGTACATCTGTTGGAAGACTAGACAGTAAAGAAAAGTTTAATTATATCAGTACAAAGTTAACCATGATGTGAATGAAAACTTGCAGAATATCTCAAGTTCAAAATTCTCATGAAATCATGAGATTATTGTATACTTACAGCCATTCCATGTCCTCAACTGCCTTGCAAATTTCAGGCAGTAAGCCAAACTCTACAAAAAAAGGAAAATAAATGATGCCTGTTGACATGGTGGGGAAACACTCCAGCAAGCTATGACTGAGATACCCTTGCTTAAAACGATTGGAAAGCATGAAACACCCCCATTCTTATTTAAAAGTTTTTGGCATTTAAGGCTGACACTGAGACATGAAATGTGTGTCAGCTTGAAATAATAATAATAAAAGAAACAAAAAAAAATTCCAAACGAGTAAAGATAATCTAGGACACCGGTCTGTTTAATTTTGCAATAAATGGCATATATATATGATATATACTTATTATGTTGGAACAGAAATTTATGAAAATTTGGCGGACAAAAGGTCACCCCTTTTCTCCATCCACGAAGTGAAGCCTTAAATATAGAGCGGATTGAATTATTCATGGCTATGAATGAAGACGCCTAGATCACTGATAATCCAATAATTTTTACGAGAATTTTCTTGTATGGCTCACATGATGGCCCCGGCCGGTTGCAAACAAGTTACACGTGTTCCAAAACAAATCAAATGAATGTATACCATCGCAAAACTTCTATTTCGACAAACAAAAGCATGGTGTTTACAAAGAGAGCCCGTAATTTTAGAGTCCAGGGGGTTATACTGCACACAACAACCCTGTTGTTACCTGAAACTCTTCGACTTACCTGAAAAGTGACCTGCCATTTTGATTTTACCACGTTTAACAGAGAGAGACTAGAAATAGTAGTTCCAGTCTCACTCTAATATTTTGGGTAATTCCAGACACTTCCTTGATTTGAAGAAACACAGATGATTGTAGTTAGGAACCTTAGAACAGGTGCAGGTCAATGCTCCAGAGCGTTTAAAATCTCCCGAAACATTATTATGGCTGAAAGCTCTTTTCACACAACTAGCTGTAACAAAGCAGAGTTTCGCGATCTACTCCAAAAGGCAAAGAACGTTGTTGTTCTAACTGGAGCAGGTGCTAGTGCTGAGAGTGGGATTCCAACATTTCGAGGCTCCGGTGGTCTTTGGAGAACTTTCAGAGCTCAAGATCTTGCGACTCTCGAAGCATTTCGTAGAAATCCGTCATTAGTATGGGAGTTTTATAGTTACAGGCGAGAAGTTGTCCTCACGAAACAACCAAACAAGGCGCATTATGCTATTGCAGAGTTGCAGAAAAAGTTTGGAGAACAAGGTAGAAATGTCGCCGTGATAACACAGAATATTGATGGATTACATCAGGCTGCTGGGACGGAAGAAGTAATAGAACTTCATGGTAGGGGTCTTCTCTCTTTTTTCTGGTAAAGTCACAGAAAACACCTCTATGTAATAAATTTACCTCTCAATGAATCACTATTAAGTGCCTTGATTATTGCTTGATAATTTTCTCGTTGCTCTTTTTTCTTCATTGGAAAGTAATTAAGTAGAAGATTAATAAGATTGATACAAAAAGGAACCAAGACTGAGAAAATCAGATAAATTATAGTGAATTTAATTAGGATTTTCCCCTTATTTAGATGTAGTTTGATGGGTTGGATTGTTCAATGTGAAATATATAATGACCAAACCTGATATCAAGTGCGATAGAAATGCAAAGGTTTTCTTATGGAAGTAAATAAACAAGTGTGTAACTGACTTTTGGAAGAATTTTATGGGGTAAGGAATGGGAGGGTCAGGGGGTTTATTAATACCGCCCACCAGAAACTGCAACTAGCACTGCCATTTCTTATTTCCAGGGGCACTGTTTAAGACAAGATGTACTGTATGTGGACATGTAACAGAAAATAGGAACAGTCCAATTGTACCCGCTTTAGCTGGGAAAGGGTAGGACATCTAATTTCAGGCAACTTTTAGCAGATGAAACTTCTCAGTCACAGAATGAATGTCTCAAGCCTTTAGATCCTAGGAGAAACCATCGTACATTAATCTCTCCTTACAGCAATACTGCTGAGTCATCTATTAGAATTGATCACTAAACTAAAAGGCTTTGATATTTAAACAAATTCTCCTTGCCAGTACCAAATGAAATGTTAAGAGAAGGGTGTGGAGAGTATGGATACTGACATTAGGGTGTGAAGTGTTATTTAAACTACCTGTATACATATCATAAAAGCTTAAGAGGACAATAAACAATCATTATTTCATTTCATAAAGTTTTCATAAGTTTAGAGAAAAGGAGAGTTTAAATAGGGTCCTTTGTTCTTTGGCAAAATTATCCACACATTTCACATTGACAAAATGGTGCACTCATGTAGAATGGAAAATTTTCCTTGCCAAAAGTAGATCATGTTCTCAAAATGTAAATTGAAAAAAAAAAATGAATTTTTGATTCTTTTCCAACTGGTGCCTTTGACTGTTCACGTCACTTTTCACAGATTTTGACTTTATAAATTATATACTGTTCATGATTTCAGAGCACCTGATCCTGATGCCCAGGATGCAAAGATTCCAAAGAAAGATCTACCCAGGTAAGAAACTTGAGATAACGTGTCTAAATATAGTCAAACATACATTTCGGGTCTTTTTATTATTGAGACTCTGCTATACACAAACACCTTCAGGGTGGCCAGAAAGTTTTAAAGTAGTTTTGATTTCTTTCCAATATTTGAGTTGCTAAACTTGAGGTGTGGCTCATCTGCAAGTGAAGCTTATACAATGGTGTTTATGGTACTCTGCTGTATTATTAAAATAGGTACTCCATTCCTAATGTATCTTTTTGATTAATTATAAATTTTAATTCAGGTGTGTCCAGCCCAATTGTGGACAATTGGCCCGTCCTCATGTTGTGTGGTTTGGAGAAAATCTAGACTACAATGTATTGAAAGCTACAAACAATGCCTTGGAAAAGTGTGATATGTGTCTTTTGGTATGGATTTCTGAAATATTGAAGATAAATTCCCTATTTCCAGGCTCCTCTCAGTTGCTGTTATTATTCTGTCCTTCCCTTTCCCCTCTCCCCCAAAAGTCCCTTTTCCTTCTCTCCCCTACTCCCAAAGTACCTCTCCTCTCCTCCACCCCCCAAATGGAACAACAACAATAAAGCCAATTTCCAGGTAGACCCTAAATTTCCTGATGACCAGAGGGACCCAAAATTGTATATTTGTACACTTAATTCTGCAT